CAATAGATTTACAGGAACATGCACTTTATAATTATATAAAAATTTATTTAAAAACATAATATAATTAAGCTACAATTTGCAAAAAGCTGTGCCCGGATACTTTTTTCAGGGGAGTGTATATTTTTTATGATAAAGTTATTATCACAAAACTATGTGTTTTTAGATCAAGCGACACAAGAAGCACAACCAGGCTTTACTTTTTTGACTATGGACGTATTAAGTGAACTTGATAAATTACTTGCATATACTTATACAACTGATGTTCACTTTATAGTAAATTTATACTTGTTCAGTCAAAGAAAACGAAATGTTTGTTAATAAAAAAAAAACATATATATTTCAGATAGATGTAATGAATCTATTGAATCAATTGAAAGATCCTCATACTAAATTTATACCTAATTGCTATTTTGAACAATTCTTATTTGAACAAGGACTTTCTTTGTATTCTGTTGTTAAATCTGATGACAAACAAGTAAGGTTTGAATTTTATTAAACAATTTTCTTTTCATTTTTATATTCCTTTTCCCTTTTTTTTAAAAAAAAGAAATCTTAAATTTTTTATAGGTGATAAAGATCTTTAATGTTTTGATAATATCTTCACTAATAGATTACGAAGTTACTCATATAGATTCACAACTCGCACTCTCATTCATCACATCCTTTGCGAATTCACAAATAGGTGAATCGAAAGATTTGAACGTTAGATTTAATTTAGCACTTACATTACTTACATTGAAAGGTGAATTTATTTAACTTTCTTCAGATTCATAACAATTCACCAAAAGGGATGTATTACCAGAAAATGAAAGTGTAGAATATAACGTAATTTATTATAGAAGAGATATAATTTCACGAAAGAATGGATGGTTAGAATAAAGGAACAAGAATTCCTAGAAACATTTACAGATTTAAAAAGTTATTGGAATTCATTTTGTGCAAATAATAATAATCTTAAAGTTAACATATTACCAAAAAAATGTTAAAATAAAAAAGGAAAATTCACTTATCTTTAACCAATTTGAATCATTAATATTACGAGATGAGCAAGTTAAATTAGTTAAATCTGGTAAAATTGCTCAATTTTACATTATTACTTCAGTTGAAAAAGAAGCGTTTGGCATTGTGGTAATTTCTACTGTTGATAATGAAAAGAATGAGAATGAGTTGATTATTGATGAATTATTAGAAGGATTTCGAATATTGATCAATGCTGATGTTAAAAAGATAATGTATAAAATTATAATTAGTCTGGAGTATAGCAAAGAACTATTATAGTTTAGGTTCAGTGACATAAAATGTCATTCTGTCTGCCCACTTGACTTATGAGATGATGACGTTCAGTTACTATGTTTGTCAGTGTTGCTCGTAATCATTTTCCAAATCTTATCAAATTTATTTAAAAACTTTTTGCATTAAAAAAAATTTTTTCGGCTTTATATTTTTTTTATTTGTATTGCCATTTTTTCTGAGAAATGTGAATTAAAATAATATTTGATGCTTTGTTCCTATTTTTTTTAATGCTTTGTACTGTTATGTTAAATTGTGTCTTCTTCTAGTATTAATGAAACTAGTCATCTTTCTTCGAGCTTCCTTTCTTGTAACCTTCGCAAGTTTTTTATACAAAGCAACCTTTTGAATATGAACTGTTTAAAGGAGATATCGTTTAGTGAACGGACGTGTAATATTACAATGAAAGAAAGTCTTGCCGCAAACTCTTTGCTTTCAAGATTGATTTTGGTCTTTTCTAATATTAGTTCTTGGCTCTTATGCACAGTAATTGCCCAGGTAAGACGTAAGAGAATCTGCAGACGTGAACACTGCATCCTGTTCTTACCTTCCTATGACCTTTTGATAGACACGATAGGTACAACTTTGATACCTTTTAGGTTGGTGATTGTGGGTCTTTCATACTTCACGAATGTGACAAATACTGCTACTAGAAGAGAAGGTGACCCCCATTCTTTGAATATGATGTCTTGTATGACTCCCATTGAGCTATTTACCAATCTGCCTTTTGTTCATATATTTGCTGTTAATATAATACATGCATCTTTTGCCAACAGTAATTATGCTTCAAGACCTTTTGCTGCTTCTGAGTTGGCTTGTTTAGCTTCAACTCCTTCACTATATATACCTACGATTTTGACAACTGGTCACTGTAATGATCTGAAACGAATATCCCCAAAATATTTTCTTTACATCTCCACCACATCCCCGCACCTTTAACGCTTCAGACTTCATAATGGCCTTCACCGTTTCCTAGTATAATTATTATTATTATTTGTTAAACAAACTTCCAAAACTGTTTCCTAATTATAATTAAATCATAAATTTATCAATCTATTTATATTAAATTTATATTCTTTAATATTTCTATTTATATAAGAGTTTTGGTCTTTATTTATATTAGATCATATACAATTTTTAAATTTTAATATAATTCTTTAATCTATTAATTTAAAACTATTTTAATTTTAGATAATTTAAATATAAACTATTATTAATTATGAACTATAAGATAAAGTTTTATTAATAATATATACTAATCTTAAAGTTATAAAATCTTTAATCATATATTTAATATAACTATTCAATAAATTGTATTAATTTGCTTAGTTATATAATATCTAATGTATCTTTTTTTTAAAAATTTATCATTAAAAAAATATAGTTTATAAAATTTTTAAAGTATTTATTTTAAGTTTAAAGTTATATAAACTTAATTTTTATTATATTAGATAAACAAATATATTTTATTTTAATAAAAGTAAATCATAGAAAGCAATTTATTTAATAGTTTTTATATAAAATTAAAATTTGATTTTATATAAAAATTAAAAGTTAATATTTATAAACTTATTTTAATTATTATCTAAATTTTTTTTAATTGTCTTTTTATTATTATAATAATATTTAACTCTTTAATAATTTTATGTAAATAATAAATTTTTTAAAATATTATTAATTTCTTCTTCTATTAACATTATATTTTTTATCAATAATGAATTTAATATTCTTTTTCTTTATTTATGATAATTATTTTTTAATGTTTAAAAGCAAAATTTTTATTATTTAAAATATTTAATTGTTATTTAAATTTTTAGAAGATATTTATAAGAATTTTATTATTTTATTGTAAATTTTACAAGATATATCATACTATTCTAAACCTGTAATATATTTCTTTTATAGTAATTTTTATTTGTCATGTATATTTTATTATATTATTTGTTACATTTTAATAATAAATATTTATTTATTACTTATTGCTTATTTTTAAAATAGTATAGTATAATAAAATATTTTTTTATTATTTCTTTTAAAAGTTTTTCTTTTTTGTAAAGATTTTACTAATTTTATATCTATTTTAATTATTATCTCCTTTTTATATTTATCTATTTAGTTTTAAATAATATATTTTCTTTATTTTTTTTAATTTTTTTTTATAAATATTATTATATTTTAATTCTTTTAAAGTTAATTATTTATCTTATGATTTTTTTTGTTATAATTATATAAATCTAAAAATTTATTTAATAATATATTAATTTTTTTTTTTCTTTTTAAATAGCTAGATTTAAAGATTTTAAATTCTTTTAATTAATAATATTTCTAATTATATTTTATTTAAATTATATTTAATTCTATATATCTTTAAAACTTTATCAAATATTAGATAATAATATATTTTACCAAATTAATTAAGTATAATATTATAGTTTTTTAAATTAGAAAAATAAGCTAAAGAGATTATATAATTATTTTTTCTTATAGCTGAAAAAAATATAAAAGTTATTAGATTCTCATATTGCAATTTATAGTTACTAATATATTTATTAATAAATTAATTTTTCTATATTGCAAAATATTTTATTTATTGGTTTAATTAAAATTTTTTCAATACTAATATTTTTTTGCATTAATATAAATAGTTATTTCAATAATAATCTATATTAATTTTAATACTCTTCTTATTAATTGTTAATTAAATATAACTTAAAATTTATTTAAAAATTAAATACTAATTAATTACTATAGCTAAAAAAAAATTTTATTGCTTAAATAATTATAAATATAATATTAAGCATATCTTTAAAAGATGTTATTAATCTATATAAACTTTTTTCTTATTAAGAATATGATTTGATTAATTACAAATATCTAAATATTTATTATCATTTAATAAAAATTCTTTTTTATATATTTATATAATATAAAAAATCTCATTACTTAAAAAGTTATAATAATTAAAATAATTATATTAAAAAGTGAAGTTAAATAAAGAAAAGCATATTCTACTAATATAAAAAATAAAAAAAAAATAGATTTGTTTATTTTAAGAATCAAAATTTATTTTATAATATATTTTTTGATTAGATTAAGTTATTTTTTTTGATTTTAATTGTAAGATATTTTTTTAAAAAATATTTTAAAAATTAAGAAATATGTCAATATATTTAATAATACTAGTTAATAATTGAAAGTTATTTTAATAGTTTATAAATATATATATAATTTTTATAATTTATTTCTAACTATTTCTTCAAGTCTCTCAAAATCTTTTTCTTTTAATTCTTTTTATTAAGATAATTAGAATCTGATTTAATTACAAAGGGTGATCAAAATTATTCAGCCACTATTTAAAACATAAAAACTTTATATGTATTACATATTAAAAATTAAAATTTAAGATAAATATATTTATCTTATCTTTATTTATTAATTTTTATATAAAAAAATTAAATTATTAATAATTAATACTATTTTCATTTGTGGCAATAATCGCCTCAATTCTTCAAGGCATACTTTTGATTAATTTTTTGTAATATTCTAGCGAAAGATCCTTTCACGCATTTTTAATATACTTTTTAAGTTCTTGATGTTAGATAGTGATGTGATATGATGATGAACCATTACTTTTATTTCTATCTAAAGGTTCTCAATTGGGTTCAGATCAGGACTTTGTGCAGGCCAATCCTTTTTCATAATTTCAGCATTTTTGCAGACAGAAACAGCAACTTTTGAATGATGTAATAGAGCATTATCCTTCTGAAAAATTCTATTATCTTGTGAAAATACTTATTCAAGATAGATACAACATATTTATTAATAATCTTAGCATGTATTTGACTAATAACTGAGCCTTTTAATGGAACAATTGATCTAAGCCTATGCTAAAAAAAGCACACCTAAAATATTCTACTAGGACTATATTTTATAGTAATTGTAATACAATCTAAGTTTAATTCTTTTCCAGGTTCACATTATACTTTTCCTTGATGACCTTGTTAAAATTGTATAAAAGTACTTTTATCTGAAAAAAATACTCTTTTCCATTTTTTTTCTCACTAATTTTTGTGTGCATGAGCTCATTTGAGACGAGTCTGATAATATACTTCTATCATTGTGAGTTTTTTATGAGATATACAAGATGTAAGCCCAACTTTCTTAAGATTCTGATGTATAGTAATAGCAGAAATAGGCTGTTTTGTATGAGCTGTCTAAACTGTTACAAGTTTTTTTGAATAAAGTTGACGATTTTTACCATTTTCTTAAATAAAGGCTTTAAGTTCTTATTGGGCTGGTGAATTAAGAAGTGGTGGATGGCCAGTTTATTTTTTGGAGTTAAAGAATATATTTTATGAAGGCATACAAGAATATCATTAATAGTTGTTTTTTTACACCCCAACTGTTTAGCTATTGTGCGACTTGATTGTTTATAATTATAGCTATAAATGATTACGCTATGAGTTTTTGAGGTAAGTGGTTTTATATTTCCAAAAAATTCTGAGAAAAAATGAAGTGCAAGGGTTTGTTTATTGTAATAGTAATGCAAAATTATGTATTATTTATATTATATTAACACGTGATGATTGGCATAATTTTGGCCAAACAAACTGATCAGATAATTTTGATCGTCCTCTGTTAATAATGAGGGACAAAACCCCTTAATAATAGTCGAAACTTAGATAAAACTATATTAAAATTATAATAAAGGATACGATAAAACCCTTTTGATACGATGAAAGCTGAAACTATCAAAACTATATTAAAAACATAGAAAAGGGTATGATGAAATTATTTTGAGAAGGTTTTGACAGGCATCTATATCTTCTGTATATCAATTTCTTAACTATGAATAAAATAAGAATTTTTAATAATATTAAGATATATTAGATATATTAGAAGATATAACAATTGACAGTATTTAATATTTAATATTATATTATTTATATTTAATTTGTCTAAAATAATTTTTACTTAAAAATAAAAAAATAAAAAATTTAAGAATTCTTTTTAATGTTTTTTATCTTTATTATTTTTAATATAAAATAATAATATGCAATTATTTCTAAATTTTTTTAATATTCTAATTATGATATTTTTGATTATAATAGGTTACTGATAATTTTTTTTTATCAAATTTTATATGAAAATAATCACTTTCTAATTTATAATATTCTAAATAAATATAATTTGAGTTTTTTAATATTTTTAAAGATAAATTCATAATTAAATTATATTTTTTAAAAGCAAAAAATATATATAGTCTATTATATATAATTTGTATATTATAATTTTTAAGAATATTTTGAATAACCATCTTTTCAATTAAAAAGTAAAAATTTTTACAAAAAAAATATCTTGTTTATAAAGAATACTATCTGTTATATATGATATTTGTTTAATTTTTAAATTATATAAATTATTTTGATTATGATTAAAATAATAACTGCAGATTCTTAATTTTTTCAAAAATTCATTTATTTTCAAATTTTTTTATTATTTATTTATCACAGTATATACTAACTATCATAATATTTAAAAATTTTTAGTATTCTATACTTTTGAATTGTGCTATTTACTTTATCAATTAATATATATAAAGTTATATTTTTTTAACTTTTTTTTCTCAATAAAAATATTATTAACATTATTATTATTTTTCTTAATTTAAAAAATATTTTATTTTATTAATATTAAATTAGTCTTTAATAACTATTTGTATTTCTGAAGTATTTTATTTAATTCTATAATATTATTTAAAGTATAATTGAGAAATTATAATTATAATTACTAAATGATTTGTTAACTTTAATCTTAAGATTTTCTTAAATAAAAAAACTTTCTTATAATATATAAAAAATATATTATATTAAATTTTAAAAATAAAAAATTATTTTTATTAGCATATTTTGTTTCACTATAATTAATTAAATTAATTTTGTATAAAATTTATAATAAAATTATATAATATATAATATTAATTATTATAAAAAAATTTGGTATATATAATAGTGGATTTATATCTGATAATGGTTATAATTTTTTAACTAAAAATATTCTTTATAAGTTATGAAATAAAAAATCATTTTAAATATAATCGTCATTATAGTTGTATCTATTTTTTCAATTTTTTTTTTTAGTTTTTAACTAATTATTTATAATTAAAACTATTTTGATATTTATAATTAATAAAATTATAATTTTATCATATATTTTTATGTAAATATTAAAATACAAAAAAAAAAAATGATAATATGTATGTTTTTATATATTTTAAATGAAAATAATATTAGAATTACATAAATATATAAATTAAACATTTAATATAAAATGAATCAAATAATTATTTAAAATATATAAAAGTTCTTATAATATTATAAAAATATATTCTTCTTTAGTTATTCTTTATAAAAAATGCTAAGTTTTTTAATTTAAATTCTATAATAATCTTTTTATTAAAAAAATTGGATATTAAAATTATTTCTTAAGAATTTATGTTATAATTTTTTTAATATAATATTGTTACTTAAATTAAATTAAAAGATTTATTGTTTTATTATATAAATAAATTATTTCAAATGATAATTTAATAAAAATAATATTAAAAATAACTATTTTCAACAAAATCTCCTAATTTAATCTATTCTCTAATTATAATTTTATAACATTTGTCATTTAAAATAGAAACAATTATAAATTTTTTCCAATCTAATTATTTTCTGCTACAGTAGATTTTTCCTTTTTCTCCTCTCCTTTACTAGGATCAACATTTGCCAACAAAAATTCCACAATTTTTTCGTGATGATTTTGTTGAGCTTCATATATTGGAGTTCTACCTGCTTTATTTTTTATCTAAATAAAATCCAAATTAATTTAATTAAATTTAAAAATAATTTAAATAGAAATAATAAGAACAAAATGTTCCACAATACCTTTGCATCGGCTCCACTCTTGATTAATAATTTAACTACTTTCTCATGACCATTTAAAGCACTCCAATGCAATGGTGTATTTCCTGAACTATTTTGTATACTCAAAACTCTTTCTAACAAAGATCCTAATGCTTGTATTATGAATTCCACAATTTCTATTTTAAACGAATCGAATTAATCACTTAAGTGTCATGAATTCGATAAGTATTACTATTACCCCTACCTAAATGTCCATTAGCACTTGCCATATGTAAAGCAGTGTTTCCAAAGTCGTCCTTTGATTCGAGATATGTGACAGGATATAAATTCATAAAAGCCTTCAAGTCCTCTAATTCACCATAACGTGCATATTCTATAACTTCTCCAATAATCTCCCCTGAAGGTGTAGTTTGGGCATCGACTATCGGCATATCATATATTATGATCAAAAAAAATACAAGCAAAAAAAAAAATAAAAAGGCTTAATTAAGATTTATGTTACACCAACTCATCGAAATGACGAGATGACGATCTGTTCATCTGTCATAAAAGTTTACGTTTACAAATTAAATTATATATTCTTTTACGAAATGGCAGGCTTAAAAAGTAAGTTTCTTTGTACCTTACGCTTTTAACTATTCTCTTATAAAACTAATATAATATTTAATACACTAGCGTACGTATTATCACTAAGTTCGAGAATACTGCATCTTTCAAAATTTCGCGTCAATTAAACTCATTTTTGAATAATAATCTCCTTACAAAGCATCATAATTTTAGCTTTTGTTCTGGCTTGTGGATTCTTACTCGTCATTTTATCTGGAGCATTATATCAGTATGTCAGCGCATCAACTTTCTTTTGTGAACAAGATCTTATAAATTCGCTAATAATTTAATAAATTTTAGAAATTGGTGGCCACTGTTTGTCGGTAATTAGAAATATTTATCTTTTTTATTAATTTAAATTTAAATTTATAATTTTAACGTTGTATTATGGTAGTTGCAACATATGTGTTAGCACCTTTACCAAATTACATATCTTCAAAATGTTCCGATAATAATGAGTTTTACAGCGATAATGATAGGTAAGTATTAAATATTTTATGTAAAAATAAACGCTGCTATTTTAATAATGTATTTAAAATTCAATTAGTAATAAAAAAGACTTTGGACAATTCTTAACGGCAATATTACTCGTTACTGGAGTTTGTGAGTAGGAAATTAAGAATGAATTTTATTGATTCAACAATTAATAATTTTTATTTGAAATTTAGGTTTACCAATCGTCCTTGCACATGCGGATGTAATAACATTTGCGGCAATGATTATGAGTATTGGAGGAGGTGCATTGGTATATTCAACAAGTAAGTTGGGCATAATAACACTTGCTTTTCGCAAATTTTAAATTTCCCTTTAATAATAAGATATAAATTTATTTAAATTCAGTCATTACCTATACGCACATCTTTGCATACGAAAATGAATTCTAAGACAAAGTTATTATCTATGTGATTGATCTAAACGTTATATATATAATATCTCACATGATTTGTATTAGCTTTTTTTGTATTGTATATTATTATATATATATCAAAGGTCTACTAAAAATCCGATAAACACGCGTATTTTTTCGAAAAATAAATTAATCGACTTTTAAAATTTTTCTTAAAAAGAATTTATATGCATGGATTTATATATTATATAATAAAATATAAAAAAACTTATTTAATAATAAATTTATTTTTACTTAATATAATAATTTAAAATTATACTTTAATCTTATGTAAAACTTATACTAAATAAAATTTATATAACTTTATAAATATAATCTTAAAATCTATAAACTTATAATCTTATATAATTACAATGATAAGTAAAAAATATAACTAGTTATCTTTAAAGCTTATAATATATTAAATATAAATAAAATTATGATTTTATATATATTTAATTCAAATCTTAAAGAATATTTTGTGTAATTAATGATTATATTATTTAATAAAATTTTAAGCATTTAGCTATTATAAATCTAATATTAAATCTAATTTTTTATAATACAGCAATTTTGATAAACTAAAATTTGTTTAAATCAGATTAGTAAATCATAAGAAAATTGATATAATAAATAATCAGCTATATATTATATAAAATTTAGTTTAATCAATTTTATATTATATATAATCAATCTTTGATTTTTAATTTTTTTATGATTTATTAATCTAATTTAAAAAAAGATTATTTTTTTTTTAATATTAAATTTAATAAAAATATATTTGAATTTACTAAAATTTTACAAAGTATTTTAATCTCTCAAATAAAAAATATTTTTAAACTTAGCATATATTTAAAACTTCTTAAATAAATATATTATTTTATTTTATATTATTAATATTTTATTGAAAAAATTTCTAGACTTTTTAAATTTACATCAAAAAACTATTAAAAAATTTTATTTCTAATTTTGTAAAAATAAATATTAATAATACTTAAAACTTAAAAAGGTTTTATCAAATATTAGCACAAAAAATATTTCTATTTATAATATTAATTCTTATTTTAAATTTTAATTATTTCTTTTATTTTTATTTTATCAAAAGTAAAATAACTAAAAATTAATAATAATAAACTAATTAATTATATAAGTAAAATATATTTATTATAATAATTTTAGTAGTATAATTATATATACATATATGATTAATAAATTTTCACTTATTTTAAAAATGTTTGTATTACTTTATTATCTTTAAATCCTTTAATAATATTAAATAGTTTTAAAATAATATATAGTTACTTTTTTTATTAATTTATAATTAAAATATAACTTACAAATATTAAAAAATTTAATCTACTTTTTATTAATAATTTAAAGATAAAAAACAATATATAAAATCTGAAAAAATTATATATATATAAATTTTTTATACAGTATTGCAAAATTTAGGTATACTATATTAAATTAAAAAATTTAAGTATATTATTATAAATTATATGGTCCAGTACAAAAAGATTTATATACTACCAAAAAAAGAAAATATTTATGCTAAAATAAATATCGTATCACTAAAATAAAGTGGGCTAAAAATTAAATATTTGTTAGAACATAACCAAACACATTTTTTCCCACAAGTTTTTTTATCATGCCATAAATCTTCTTTTTTTAAAACGAAATGGTATACCACTGACGGATAATGAAAAATTGATGATAATTAACATTCACAATTATTTTAAGGAAGATAAATCTATAAGGGAAAGCCTTCAGAAGCTACCATTACGCAAACAGGTTGCTGAGATATTGGATGTATCTGAGGGTACAATTGGAAGTATTATGTCAGATTGGAATAGCTGTAGTAATAATATATTTACACCACACAAAGTTCTTGAATGACCTATATTAAAATCTGATGAAAATGTAGCTGAGCTTTTGCGTATGAAAGTTCTAAATGCCAATAAAGCAGGTGAACACCTTTTTACACCTATTCTAAGACAATTTCTTTCTGAACAAAGATATACCATTTCTAAATGGAAGCTCCTTCAGGTACTACATCACTTAGGATATTATTTTGACTAGGGAGAATGAAGAAACATCCTTTACGAATTACCAAATAATGTTGCATTCTGTTGCCATTATTTTCGTTATAGGTTTACTAATTTAAAAGGTAAAAATGATGTTCTACGCCACTCAGAGGTTTTCCTTGATGAGTCATATTGCCATTTGCATCACACTTCACAAAACACATGGGTTTTCCATTAAGGTGTTATTTTATCACCTGTGCATGAACCGTTAGTAGTAATTTTTGGTACAATTATAGTATTTCAAAATGGGTCCTCCAATAAACTGCATGGTGAACTTGTTCCAAACTCTGTTCATATTTGGGATCCAAAAATTAAACCTCTAGGAAATAGAAGTCAAAAAAGAAATAATATTGAAGAATGAAACAATATTCCCGATGTCATTAAGGATGCCAATATCATTCCAAATCAGGTAGATTATCACGAAACTTCAATGCAGAAATATTTGAGAATCTTTTTACAACTCTGTGTAAAAATCTTTATGAAAAATATGGGTCAGTAATCATCCATATGGATGAAGCTAGTTACCATAAATGGCGAGTAGAAAACATTTTGATTTTAAGTGCAAAAAAAATAAGAAATAATTTACTGGTTAAATGCACATGATATTTCTTTTTCTGGTGAATTAATAAAGCTGGAACTTTGAAACTAATGCAAATAAATAAGGAAAAGGTTCCTTTTTCTTGTGTTAAAATAGCAGAACAGTACAAACATGAAATTAATTTTACCCCTCTATATTATTGTGAACTTCAACCTATCGAAGGTGTTTGGTCAGTAGTAAAAGGTAAAGTTGCACATTTAGGCTCATATTCAAACCTTTTATCTATCCAAAACAAACTATTAGATGCATTTAAATACAAAATTACTTCACAAATTATTATTGGACTTTAGAGAAAGGCGTTAAACAACGCTAAGGAATATTTTGCATCTGACGAAAACGTATAATTAATTGACAATGAATTTGATGATTATAGTAGTTCCAATGATGATCACGTGATTTGATTCAATTTTTACGTTTTTATACTTCCCGATACATATTAATATTATTTAAATAATAAAAAAAAAGTTTAATTAATAAAATTTTTTTATTGGTAGTTTTTTTAGTGTACAAATGTTTTTGCACCAGACCATATTATTTATTAAAATTTTTAAATATTAAAAATTCAAAAATTTTACTAAATAAATTATTTATATATTTTTTAAAAATTGATCTATAGATTAATTAATTTATTAATTTTTTTTTAAGAATAAGATAAGTTTTATAAAAAGTAGATTTTTAAAAAGAATTTCTTTTATATAATTCTAATTAAATTTAAAAAAATAAATTTTCTTTATTTAGATTTAAAGTTAAGTAAATCTTATAGTAGATTTTTAGAAAAATTAACTAATTATAACTTTTTAACATAATTATGTTAAAAATTATAATCAGTTTAAAGTAGATTATATTATAACTTTATAAAATAAAATTATAAAATAGTAAATACTCTATATAAATTGATTGCTAGAAAAATCAGGTTCTAATAATTTTTTAGCAAAATTAAGATTTTTATTGCATTTTAATTTTTGATGTTATTAGTTTAAAATGTATTAAGCTCTTAATTTTAGTTAAAAATTTCTTGGAACCTGATTTTTTTAGAAACACTTCTATATAATTAATTTTTAATATAATAAATTTTATAATACAATAAATTTTAATATAATACAGATTTTTCTATATTAAAGAATAGGGACTGTTATTAAGTTCAGATATTTTGAGTCATACTACATAAAAATATATAGTTCTATAATAATGCTCTGAACTAATAATAATATTTTTTTTATTATACACTTTATATAATTCATTAATACAAATTTTTTTATAAAATGATAGCAAATTTTTATTTTTTTAGTAGCTATGAAATAATATTATTCATTTTATTTTTATATTTTTTGATGATTTAACAATATATTAATTTAAATAGTCAAAAGAATTATTTTATAAATTTATGAATTTAACTTTTTAATAAGTAATTTTTTATTAACAATTTAAAATTTTACATTAGCCTATAAAAAAATTCATGTTTATGCTTTTTCTTTAGATTTCTGAGTTTATTAGATTCTTAGAGGATTCTTGTAATTTTTGTGATTCTTTAAATTCTATTTTTTTTTTGTTTACTTTTTCTTTTTTCAGGTTTACTAACTTTTTTTTTGGTTTTAATTTTTTAAAATTTGATAGTTTTTAAAATAAATTAATAAATTTTTTCGTTAAAAAAGAAATATTTTAAACACTTTATTGTAAATTTACATTGAATTTATCTAAGAAAAATTCTTCAATAGAAAAACTGTTAATTAACATTTTTTATTATGAGCTATATATTTTTTGTTGTGTATCATAAAATAAATTTTTAATGATAAAAAAATGATATTTATTTATTTTAGAAAATATAATTGCAATAAAAAATGTATGGCTTATCAAATTTAATATAAAAAAAAAATTAAAAAGTTATTTAAAAAGCTGTTTTAAATGTAAAGATGATTTTAAAGAGTTGTTTTTAAAAGTATGGAAAAAGATAGAATTGTTTTGAATATAAAAAATGACTTTGAAGAGTTATTTTTAAAAGTGTGAAAAAAAAAAATATGATATTAATATATTTTAATTAATATT